TGGCAAGATTTCTAAGAGTGACCATGACAAAATTGTAATTCCTCCAGGATTAGATTCAATTGTTTCTTCAATTGAAGAACTGAGGAACAAGGTGTATCCAAATATAGTAGAAAACTATGTGAATTATGAATGACTAATTGAGATAGCAATTCTAGTAATTAAAAACGAATTGGTGCATGTTATCAATCCACAACTGTGGATGATGAATAGGCTGTGCAATGCCCTACAGAATTTTTAAATTCCTTAGAATTGTCTGGTATGCCAACACACAATTTAAGCCTAAAAGTTGGATGCCCTATTATGTTGCACTGGAATCTTGATGCTGCAAGATTATGTAATGGAACAAGAATATGTGACAAACACATACAACCTCAGGTCATAGAACCTGTCATGTTAACTGGTAGAGCAAAAGGAGAATTGACTTTCATTCCTAGAATACCCCTTATTTTATCAGATTCTACAACTGAATTTAAAAGGCTTCAATTCCCAGTTAGAGTGTGTTTCGGCATGTCTATTAATAAGTCCCAAGGACAATCACTGGTGGTTGTTGGTCTTAACCTAACTTCAACTTGCTTTAGCCATGGGCAGTTTTATGTAGGATGTTCTAGGATAAGATTGACAGAATGTTTCTACATCTTAGCACAAGGAGGCAAAACATCAAACATTGTGTGTCCAAGGGCTTTGAGTAATTCCATATGCAATTTATAAGTGGGTCCATGATGACAATTGCTAACTAATAGTTTCTAATGTTCCTCCAGGAAAAACGGTTTGATCTGCTTAACAACCAAAACCTACCAAATCTTTTTGTCTCCTAAAATCCAACCTCTGCTCCACGTTCTGGGTAAAGAATTGGAATGTTCACATATTTGACACCCAGGCAATGCTGGGTATTCCCTGCTAGTTTTATATAAAAAGAATTTTGTGTAGGCTCACTACTTTCTTTCCTTTTTTTTTCTTGTCTCACCAGCTAATTTTGGTGAAGGCAAGGTTTTTATTGTTTCAAAAACAATTTCATATAGGCTTGCAAATTTCTTTCCTTCTTCTTCTTCACCTAATTTGAAGGGAGTGGGTGATGGGAGTTATTATTATTTCACATTAACTACAGAATAAGTTTAAATGTTTTTTCAATCCTTTCTTCTATTTTCAGTTTCACTTGCTTGATATCATGTCTTAGTAATATTTTCATTTCAACCAAAACACTTATGTACCAAAAAAAATTTGATGTAATGTCAAGCTAATGACAAAGGGAACAGAAATAGTCTAAAATGTCTCTCTTTTTGCACACATCTCACATTTACTATTAAATATATAATCTTACTTATTATAAAATGCAGATTGTGTGTGTGTGTGTGTGTGTCTGTACGTTTATATATTGGATCGGATTTCCGACATTTTTCAACTGATTTCAACAAAACTTCACAGGACTGCATAAAATTACCTTGCGGTGGTTCTGACAGTGCCAAAAATTGGAAAAACACAATTGTTTTTGCACGAAATCAATTTGAAAACATGATAAAACATGATTCTGTCACCAGAATTAAAGGGGGACAACTCATATCGAGTTATCTTTATAAAACCCAGGTTGTTTGTGTGTGTGTGTGTGTGTGTGTGTTGTGTTTATATATGGGATCGGATTTCCTACATTTTTCAACCGATTTCAACAAAACCTCACTTTTTTTTTTTTTTGGCAGTAGTGTTTCTTATTGTCTTGCACACTTTTTTTCTTTATTTTTACATTCAGAATGCTTTAAAAATTCCATTTACAAGACAATTGTTTATAATAAATTCTATTCAATCGATAGACTCATAATGATTGAAAACAATGTTTTTGTTTGAGTTTGGGTCTTTGATCAATTTTAAAAAAAAAAAATAATAATTAAGACATGCATGTCCGTCAACCTAAACAATGATCTTTTTCAATTTTATTTTTCAGTCAACGCCGATGGTCAATACTTGATTTCTAATAAGTTACAATTGTAATGATAAAGGTATTATTAACCATTTCCTATATATATAAACATCAAAATTCAAAAGAGAAGACTGAAAATGCTACTGTAAAAGTTTAAACAACAAAAAATTCTTTCTATTTCAAAACGAATATGTGGATAAAGATATTTAAGATTGAGGAAATGCCAAGTTGAGTTTGAACCTCCAGTTTTGAATCAATTACATTCAGGCAAGTGGAAGCAATAACCTTGGGAAAGGTAAAGAAAACTCATCTTCTCCCCCATATGGATAAAAAGCAGAACAGACCGGGTAAAATAGCCTTGAATGGGGACTGGTCTAGAGGAGAAAAAAAAATTGGCAAGGAAAAGAGGGGGAAAAATTATTTTATTTCAGTCATTATTGAAAGTTACATGATGCCTAAAAATATTTACTTAAATGCCTGTACCCTAACATAACTATCAAAACAGTTTTTTAGTAAAACACCTTTATCAAATATCTATTATGTCTTTTCTCTTCCTGAGTGTTTCCTTCCTAACAATTACCACAAATTCTGCCAACATTAACCTCTTGAATTTTCATTTTTTCTCTTTGAGTTGTATGTGATATCCATTTTAGTCATTTCCAGACACAAATCATGCAAGTTTCTATTATTTGGTGAAAAAAATATTTAAAACTCAAAAGCACCATTCTAAAAGTTCAAAGAAAAGGATGTTTCTCACTAAGACCTATGTATTTCATTTACTGAAGCCATTAACACTGACCTCAAAATTCATTATATCTTACTAGATAAAAATCCTACAGGACAATTGATTTTTTTTTATTTCAGAAGTTGCATTTAAACCTTTCTTTGCCTTCCACCTGATTCTGTCTCCATGATTTTAACATTATGGTTCTAAATAACATTTTCCAATTTGCCATTTTGATTTTAACTCAGTTTCACTGTGTTTCTTTAAACACCTTAGCTAATAAGGAGTTTTTATTAGGAAAATTGATTTCTAAAAGTTTTAAAAATATTTCCAATCTTGGATTTAACTGCAAATTAAAAGGAAAATTAAACCAGATAATTTCCCAACTTCTGAGCATTTAGGTTTAAACATCGTTTGAAAAATGTGAAAAAATTGGTAATTTCTGCTCCTTTTTTGCAAAAGCTTTTCATAAAATTTTACTATTTCAAGAATAAATTCAAATTTTTTTTTTATAATCATTTCAGGCCAAATAAGAAGTTTTCTGAATGGATTGTTACTCTACAGGGTGGTTTGACTTGGTATTCTACAAATTTGAAGAACATTTGGTTTTCATATAAAGTTTTCAGTTCCCAGAGACAATCAAATTCAACATCCAAATATTCCATTAATTTTTTGGGAATAGAAAATTTTCCTTATCCTAAAATAGTGGTCAACTTTTGAATGGTATTGTCTGGCCCTTCTATTTAATCCATAGCTGGGGAGAGAAGAGACATCATCCTTGTATAATTCGTATTTGTCTAGATGGAAAATTGTATTGATTTTAACCAATATATAAATTCTTGTATGTTCTTATTCTGAGTCCCATCCCATTAGATCCTTGCAGAATTTCACAAAAACAATCACAGGTTTTTTATTTAATGTGTGATATATATGAAATATATCAATACATTCCTCTGGAAAATGACTTTCAATTGGTCTGGTTTTCTATGTATTGTTTGGCAAATTCTTTCATGACATTGGTAATTATGGCTCTCTATCAATTTCCTGTCCTTTGTAACTGTTAATAAAATTATTCATTTTGGTATTTAATAAACCAGGTCCATCCATTTACTTTGCTCGGTAGATTAGGCATTGTTTCCTTCTGTCCTTGATCTGTCCTACTTAGCAAATTTTCAGACATTTTTTTTAATTATGTGTCCAATAACACCAACAGTCTCTTTTGTTGGGTTAAGTATAAGTGCAATGAAATTATTTTATAATGGAGTCTTCTTGAAAATCCCTTACCATGATGAATGCTTCAATTTCAAGAATTAATGCATTTTGTCACCAAAGAAGCCTGTTTTATTTACAATATCCTTTGTTCTTTGTTAATATTATCAACAAATAATTGAGAGCAAATGATTTTATTATAGAAAACATTACACATATATTTACTGTTGAAATACATTTTGTTTTTAAGATGACTAATTCATTATATTTGTTTCCTCATTTTGTTTTTTTTTTGGAAAACATGTCTCCTGGTATATTTATCCTGCAACAAAAATGGCTGAAATCCTGGTTTTAGAACTTTTTGGAGCCACATTTAGTATTTCCTAAACTGTAAGAATGTACTTCTGTGTAATAAATGATCAAAGTAATCCTTTTTAACTTGATATATATATATATATATATATATATATATATAAAACAAACAATAATCCATCTCATTAACCTAACAAAGGATACTTGATCTTATTTAAGAACACAAGTTTGTAATTAACAATGAACATGACAGAAGGAAAGTTCTTAACAATTGAAAAATGTTTAATTTTGAGTTCCTTCATGGTTTTTTTCTCCAAACAAAACAGACGAATTTGTTTTACAATGCAGCATTCTGAAAAAAAAATCAATAAAATTCAAATTTATGCACCATAATGTTGAATTGGCAGTTAAAATTATTCAAAATGTAAATAAAAGACTTTCAAGTTGATGTTAAAAGGTTAGACAACAAAAACATTGTTGAATTATTTAAAATGGAAAAATCTATTATGACATGTCTCTAATTTGTATTTAGATACATTGTATTTATTTTCAATTTCTCTAGTTTAATTGTTCACCAAAAATGCATAATGATCCATTATTGTACATAAGTAGATCACAATAAAATTTGTATTTTATATGAATGTTATATATATATAAAATTGAGATGTATTTAAAACCATTTTTTCTACCCTTTGTAAATGTGATCTGATGAGACATTGCAAAACCATCTACCTGGGGAAATAAATCATATAAATATATTATAATATTATAATGTTATATAATATGAAGAATATATATTATATGCAATAGAAATTATGATTAATTTTGTTTTTTTTCTGTTTTTAGGTAAATCCACTCTTGGAGGCATTTGGAAATGCACAAACACTTATGAATGATAATTCCAGTCGATTTGGGAAATATATTCAACTTAAATTTAAAGATGGCCATATATATATATATATAAATATATATATATTTATATATATAATTTATATATATATATATATATATTATATATATATATATATTTTCTTTATAACAGCAACACATGCATGCATGCATGCTAGCACCTATATTCAAATGTAATGATGGATTGACTTTTAATCACATCATTTTGAGAATTTTAATTTAAATTTAAAAAAAAATGAACAGAAAAATATTTGAAATTCCCTATTTTGCCTTTATATTTTTGGTTGGCATACTATTTTTTTTCATGAAATACAAAAAATTACTGAATTATCAATCTCATAAAAAGATATTTTCACTGATTTAAGACCTTTATCTATTGTTTTGCAAATGGACATTTGCCTCATTTAAAAATAACATTCATTATTGTTTGTTGAACACAAATCATGGCTATTCCTCCATCCCTCAAAAAAAGAAGGTTAATTTGGAAAGTTGTTCTTTATGAACAGAGTTCTTTTTATTATTTATCAATCAAATCAAGTAGCAAATAATGTTAAACAATTTAAGCAGAACCCTGTCTTTCAGGAAAAAAAATCATTTTTACTGATTAATGTAATGGTTTTTAATTGTAATTCAATCTCTTAAAAGATCATGTACAGACGAAAACTAACTAATGAGTTTTTTTTGTGCCATTTTAGACAAAGTGTATAAGAACTTACAAACACATCTATAAAATGTATCTACTGCAAGAAAAAGCATGTATATTTATAAAGACATAATCCTGGGTTTTGTTATAGTAAATTTTTATTTGGGCTTGTTCATAAGTTTCCTGTTGGTCTTTTTTTTTTATAGTTTAGTCAATAACTGACTCAAAAATGTAAATATTTAAATTATTTTGCAATTGCATTGTATTATATCAAAAATCATTGCCCTGTGAAAAGGATAACTTGAATTTTATTAAGTTCCATTTTTTAAATTGGTATTTTTTTTTAAATATAAGATATATATATCCATATAAAAGAAAGTGGTTATAGGGTTAAGGAATTAGCAGAAATTTATTTGATAAACAAATATATATATATATTTATATATATATATATATATAAAAGTGAACATAGAAGTCAACACTTAGAGGCGACAGTCTGTTTCATGCTATATGCAATCGTCAGGCCACGTGTGCTGTTATTTTTCTCGGCTATTTATATATATACGGGTTAGTGGTGCATTGTGGGTATTCTATTATGGCGGTTATTTTTACCGGAAGTCGCTTTGTTCATTTATTTGGGTCAAGTTATATTGCTCGTTTTATTTATTTTTTATTTTATTTTATTTATTTTTTATTTATTTATTTTTTTTTTTTTTTTTTTATTTTATTTATTTATTTATTAACGTAGTAAAAATTTGTTTATATCACGTATTTAACAGTTTTGTTTTGGTTTGAGAATTTAATTAAAGTTTTGTTCAATTTTGGGGTTGTTGTAGTTCATTCTAACTATTATTTTTTTTTTTTTTTTTTTTGGGGAACAGTTTTTTAATTTGGGATTGGTTTGCCTATTTATTTATTTATTTTTCCGTTTTTCATTTTTTAGGTTACGTAGTAAAATTTATTTTCATGCCTGCATTTTGAGATGAGCTCGGATCTTTTATTTAATAATTTATTTTGGTCGGGGAAAGTAATGATAGCTATTTTTCCTCCAAGCAAAGTTTGCAAGTTTTGATTGGTTGTTGTAGGCTGATGACTTTTTCCTTATCTTCCAAGATATTTTTGGTGTGATGTGCGTTTTGTTTTTTTATTTCCCAGATATACTTAGAAAACATAGTACTGTTCGCATATTTACTATTTGTGAACGATGTTTTGTGTGTATAATTTCTTTGCTTCCAGGGTCCTTCAGTTACTCCTATGTATACCTTTTCTTCGTTATCTGGTGATTTTATCGTGGCTTGGTATATTACGTTGTTTTGTAGACAATTTCCGTTTAAGGGACATTCGTTCTTTATTCTGCAGTTGCACGTGGGTTTAATTTGTTCGTGTGGTTTGTTGATAATTTTCCTATTGTGCTTTTTTTATTATTTGTGCCATGCTCTCGGTGCAGCTGTAGCTGATTTTTACTGTATTTTTGTTGAATATCTTGTGTAAGGTGCTTGATTCTGGGAAGTGTTTGTGTAAGAGTTTGAAGAATATTTTTCCTACGTTTGTTTTTACGTTCTTGCTGTACGGTGGGTTGAACCATATGATATTTCTTCTCCTGTTGGTCTTTTTGTATTCTGTGGTGAGTATGTGAGTATTGCTGGGAATCCGCTATCTTTTAGGGCCGTTTCATAGTCTTTTTTTAGCTTTGTTAAATAGGGATTCATTGGAGGAATTGTCGGAGAGCCTGCGGTTAATCGATTTTGGTATCTGTTTGATTATAGAAGGCGGATGGTTGGAAGATGTGTGTATGTAGAGTGGTTTATCGTTAGGTTTTTTCTGTATGGTTTATATGTGCCTTCTCTTAGGTTGAAGGTCACATCTAGGAAATCTACTTCGTTTAGGTTAGTTTTTATATCTATGTCGAATCCGTTATTTTTAAAAAATCTTTATTATTGCTTTTCTAGTTTTGTCTGTGTTTTGTTTGTTACAGTTTCTTAAGATTATGAGGCCGTCGTCCCTGTAGAGTCCTGTGTCATTTTTATCTATTATTTTGCTCAGTTCGTGTAGTAAGTAAATGCCTATGATTTCGCATGCCTTGCACCGTCAAAGCTTCCCATTGTAGTGTCAAATATCCCATCTTTCTTTATCCATGCTTCTTCATTGTGGAATAATAATGATTTACGGGAGTGCTTAATGATGTTGATTTCGCTTGGTTTTATTATTATTTGTTCCTGAGCTAAGTCGATGGCCTTATCTAGCATACGTTCTGTTATAGATGGGTAAAATTCTTTTATGTCTAATTGTAGGAATTGGCAATTTTGTTTGTTATTTATGTTGTGGAACCAGTCAATAGTTGTTTTCGTATTTTTCCACTGGTTTACTCCTAATTTCTTCCAAAGTTCAGAATTAATTTTTCTAGTATTGTTTTACTTATTTTACCTAGTTCGCTTTTTGGCTGGGTTTATGAGTCTGCATGCAGGATTAGTTTTGAAATTTTCTTTATGGTCTTTTAGTGTGATAAAGGCTCGTGCCTTGCTAATACAATTTATTCGGTCATCTAGGTCTAATTTTTGGGCGATTGTTTTAGCTTCCTTATTGATATCGTGTTCTGTTGTTTGGGGTGCCTTTTTTGTATGTTTTGGTTATGTTGTTCTTGAGTAATTTATTGTGTGTAGGAGGGCTTAGTTTGTATAAATTTTCGTTTTGTCAGCAGCGATAAATACACTTGCTGAATTGTTTATTTTAGTTATATCTGCTTTTAGTTTTTTTTTGGAATGCATCTTGTTTTTTTATGGAATTTTTATGTTTCTAACTAGGTCAGTTAAGTCTTTCTCGAAATCGTCTAATTCTTTTTTGTTGTTGGGGGCATTTTTTTGTTTTGAAGCCATATTTTTCCTTCTTAAGTGTGTTATTGTGAAGGTCCTGCAGAATAAAGAACGAATGTCCCTTAAACGGAAATTGTCTACAAAACAACGTAATATACCAAGCCACGATAAAATCACCAGATAACGAAGAAAAAGTATACATAGGAGTAACTGAAGGACCCTGGAAGCAAAGAAATTATACACACAAAACATCGTTCACAAATAGTAAATATACGAACAGTACAATGCTTTCTAAGTATATCTTGGAAATTAAAAAAAAACAAAACGCACATCACACCAAAAATATCCTGGAAGATAAGGAAAAAGTCATCAGCCCACAACAACCAATCAAAAACTTGCAAACTTTGCTTGGAGGAAAAAATAGCTATCATTACTTTCCCCGACCAAAATAAATTATTAAATAAAAGATCCGAGCTCATCTCAAAATGCAGGCATGAAAATAAATTTTTACTACGTAACCTAAAAAATGAAAAACGGAAAAAATAAAATAAAAACAAATACAATAATAATAATAAAATAAATAAATAAATAAATAAATAAATAAAATAAATAAATAAGTACTATGTTGCTTAAAAACCGAAAACCAAAAAGAGAAAATATAAAAATAAATTGACCTAAATTCATCCAAGTAAATAAATAGGCAAACCAATCCCAAATTAAAAAACTGTTCCCGCCAAAAAAAAAAAAAAAAAAAATAATAGTTAGAATGAACTACAAACAACCAACCCCAAAATTGAACAAATAGCTTTAATTAAATTCTCAAAACCAAAACAAAACTGTTAAATACGTGATATAAACAAATTTTTTTTACGTTAATAAATAAATAAATAAAATAAGAAACAAAAAAAAAAAAAATAAATAAATAAATAAAATAAAATAAAATAAAATAAAAATAAATAAAACGAGCAATATAACTTGACCCAAATAAATGAACAAAGCGACTTCCGGTAAAAATAACCGCCATAATAGAATACCCACAATGCACCACTAACCCGTATATATATAAATAGCCGAGAAAAATAACAGCACACGTGGCCTGACGATTGCATATAGCATGAAACAGACTGTCGCCTCTAAGTGTTGACTTCTATGTTCACTTTTATATATATATATATATATATATATATATATGAAAATTGACAAAAGGAAAAGTTATCTTATCTGATGTGTTTCAGCTTTGATAAAGTCCCTCAGAGTACAAAGCACATTGGCTAAGATAAGTTTTCCTTTTTTTTAATATTGTCCTTTTACAGATAAAGTCTATCTGAAAGTTTTACATTCTGTTGAGTGAAGATGGCTCAGCAGTAGAAGCTCTGACTGACACCAAATCAGTTGTGTTTTGATCTGGGCTTGGGGCATTCGGTTGTCTAGTTGCACTGAGGAGCTGTGATACAGCGAAACAGTACTGTCTGTGAATGACACACACACACACACACACACACACACACACATATATATATATATATATATATATATATACAA